CAAAGATATTCAGCATACCATAGAAACCATGGCCGCCCCGATAGCGGACGAGCGAGCAAAGAAACAAAGAAAAAGAGATGACACATCGGGCCCCCGCCCCGAGACAGCATCCAGCTGGGGTCAAGGCCAGGGCAGCGGATTGGCGCCTCAGCTCTGCGGCCCGCCTCTCCTGACCTCCTCACCCCACCGACCCCAGCCCGGATGTCTGCTCCGCGGGCGCTCTCGGCGGCTGTGCGCAGCCCCCCTCCTCAGCCGCCCTGTTCCCGCCCCGACACCTGGTTCCCCTCAGGAGCCCCTGCCCCCGGGGAGCCGCGTGGGGGGCTGGCGGGAGCAGGGGGGGTGGGTGAGGGGCGGAAGTGGCAGACCCAGAGCAACAGGAAATGACTGAGGGAAAGTCCCAACCGCAGCCCCCCACCCCCCGGCCTGTCAACACCCCACCCTGCGGGCTGGGGAGGGCTGTGGGGCCTGACCTGCCGACTTCCCCTTGCAGAACCCGGCGGGTGCCGCGTCTCCCCGGGCCTCCATCGCTTCCCACCAGCATGTTCCAGGCCGCAGGAGCCGCCCCGGCCGCCCCCGCTCATGTAGGTGCCCCGCGGGGGGGAGGACGCCCCGGGCAGGTGTCTGGCCCGGGGCAGGAGGGGTGCGGAGCGGAGCTTGCCTGTCACCCTTGCCCCTCCCCCCTCGAGTGCCCCCGGGACCTGGGCTGGTGACCCCCGTGGAAGTCGGGGGCCTCTCTCCGCTGCCCCTGCCCTGACTGGCCCTCTCCCTCAGGAAGCCAAAGGCGGCGGCGGCCCCAGCACTGTCCAGCGCTCCAAGGTAGGACCGGGAGTGAGGCGCGGGGGAGGCGGGGACGGGCGCCGGTGGGTCGGAGCCGGGGCTGAGTCTCCCTCCCACAGTCCTTCAGCCTGCGGGCCCAGGTGAAGGAAACCTGCGCCTCCTGCCAGAAGACCGTGTACCCCATGGAGAGGCTGGTGGCGGACAAGCTCATCTTCCACAACTCCTGCTTCTGCTGCAAGCACTGCCACTCCAAGCTGAGGTGCGCCCTTGCCCTGCCCCCGCCCGCCTCCAGCCCCGACCCGACCCGACCTGACCGCACTGTTCTGCTTCTGCAGCCTGGGCAACTACGCGGCGCTGCACGGGGAGTTCTACTGCAAACCCCACTTCCAGCAGCTGTTTAAGAGCAAAGGCAACTACGATGAGGGCTTCGGCCGGAAGCAGCACAAGGAGCTCTGGGCCCACAAGGAAGTGGACCCCAGCACCAAGACAGCCTAAGCCCTCTGACCATCCACGCCCTCTGCGAGGGCCTGGAGCAGGACAGTGGGCAGTGTGGAAGAGATTGGACCTGGGCTCACGCGGGGAGACAGGGTGGGAAGGGGTGAGGCCTTCTTGCTCCAGCAGAGGGTCATGGGGGCAGGGCTCTGCTCCGGGATTCCTTCATTCTCCCCAGTGGGTGGGGACTTGGGAACCAGGGTTGGGGGTTGCTCACCACCCTGCTTCCTGCTTCTTTCACCCTATCCCGCCGCACCCCCTGGCTCTCTGGGAGGCCCCCAAGCCCAGCTTCCTTATCTAGGTGCCTTTTCTCCAGCAAGGAGTCAGCATGCCCCCTCAGGGTCCTAAGCTCCCTCACTGCCACCTGGGGCCCTGTGCGGCCCCTTTGTCTCCCCATCTACCTCTGTCCTTAGCCTGGTTCTGAGCCATGGAGACTTTGGAGGAAGGAGAGCCGAGCGCCTCTGCTGGGCCTCGCAGAAGGTCCGCCAGGGCTCTGGGGGAGGGGAGGGAAATGGCAGGGCAGGCCCCAGTGGGGCTTGGGACCGGCGCACACCACCCGTGCATATCAAGAAGCAGAAGCTAAAGCACCTGCCAGGCTGAGAGCCACAGAGACCGGCAGGGATCTGGCGGGGGCCACACTCCCTTCTTCTTTCTGCTGGTTCTGACCTGTGATCAACCCTGTTTTAAACATGTTTCAACAGATCCTGACTCTGTATTATGTGGTCTGATTGGCTGGGAGGGTGAGGTGGGGGGGGGACAGGGACACATTCGTCATGCAAAGGTGAAGGGGGGAGGGCAGGGTCAGCTCAGAGCACATCTGGCCTTGATGGGGGACCGTGATGCGTATCAGAAATACCAGTCAGCCTGAGAAAAAGGGTGTCCTCTTCCCAGCCAGGTCTCCATGCTGTCCAACCACTCTGGATTTATAACTGAAACTCCTGTCCTTCAGCCTTGGTGTTGGTTAAGAGGGTCAGGCCATCAGTGCGTGATGGTGCCTGGCTTCACTGCACTTCAATATGTTGGGGTATAAAGCAGAACCCTTTGCTGAGCCCTGGTCTGGGCCCCTTTTGTCCTGGAATCAGTAAGGGATGGAGAGAATCAGCAGATCTCACCCTGCCTTTTCAAGCTCCAATGAGTGGGGCAGCCATGGTCACTGTCCCAGGTAGTCCAAACAGCTTGCCTGCCCCCTCTGAGGGACAACAAGGCAAGCTTGGAGGACCCAAAACCACGCCCACCCCCAATAGAGGCAAGAGGTCTGGGTTGTCCCACCCCAGACCCAGCTGTCCCGATTTCCCCAAATTGCCTGTGAGCCATGTAAGTTGGTAAAGCAAGAGGGCAGGCTCCTGGGGACTTGCTGCCATTGCCCCATATACTCAAGTTCTTAAGTGGCCTCATGCCCCTAGGACAGGGTAGAGAATGAGGCCTCAAGCTCTGGTGGCAGATGGGCCACTGTTGTGAAGTAGACTTTGCCCCTTGAAGCAGCAGAGCTAACACTCAGTAAGCAGAGTGGGTCCTCCGAGAGCCTCACTCAAGGCAGGCCCGACTTCTGCATCAGGAGCTTCAGATGGGGACAAGGATGGTCTCTCTCTGCCCAGAACTAAGCAACAGCCTCAGATAGACCAGGGAGAGATACCAGAGAGATGGCTCCTGGAGGCACCTGATTCCGGCCTTGAAAGAATGGGACTGAGGGAAGACCCCTGGGCTGGAACCCAGCCACTGGTGACATGGGGGCTGCCAGTGACATGTCGGTAAATCAGCCCTCACAGAACTGCCCTCAGCAGAGCCCCTGGAAGCGAGAAAGGGAGGTGCCATCTCAGCTAGCAGTGGTACCAGCCAAGTCATCCCATCCCAGGACCGCCTCTTGGAGTCATTTCAAGTTCTCTACTCAGGGGCCCAAATTTGTTAACAGGCACTATGCCTGGCACCTCCCAGGGAAACACCTGATCCCTCCACCCTGCAACCCAAAGCACCGTCACGGGACCCCTTGGGTATAAATGATCCCTTTTTATTTAAGTAATGCACGACACTGGCCTGGCTTTGCTCTGCAAGCCCTCGGTCAAGATATAGTCAAATAACTATGGCTGCAGGTTCTTCTGCACAACCCACAATTCAGACACAGACACAGAGCTGAGGTGGGTGGGAGGGGCAGGAGGGTGGCAGGGGCAGACTCTCCCCAGCCCTGGCCTCTGTTGGGTTGGTCAAGGCTGACATACCCCACGGAATGATGAGCAAATGGCACATGGCCCTTCCCACAGCAACCTGGAGCTGCTGGGAACTGCCCTTCAGAACCTTTGGACCCAGGCCGTTCTAAGCCCACAACTTTTCATCTGGATTATTTAATAATAAATTAAAATTAAGCAATAGCTTGGTCCTGAGGATGCTGAGCCAGCATGTCCACATTTTTGGCACAAATATCAGGGTCTTGGTTGTTGGTTTTTTGTTTTTTTTTTTTGAGTGCATGGCTTGTTGGTTTGTTTGCAAATTAATTTTTAAAAACACATTCCCTGTGAGGTAAGACCCTGGGGTGGGGGGAGCGGGGGCTCTGTGAGAGCCTGAACCTGGGACACAGAGTCGTCTCATCTTGTCAGCTCCGGCACTGCGCATGCTCTGTTTCCTCTTGGGAAATGGAGACAGGACAGGGGTGTGGGCCCAAGAAGAGTGGTGGAGCCATCAGGACAGGGTCATGGAGAGGCCGAGCTGCCACTACGCAGCTTTGGTCGAGATGAGGGACTGGTCCCCACCCTGGGCAAGGGCCGAGGTGGAGGCAGGAGCATATGCTCGCTGTCTTAGGGCCGGGCTGGGGGTGCCTGACAAAGACCCCCGGGGGAAAAGGATGGAAATGGGCCCAGGCCCAACTGGCACCGTGCAACACATTCCTGCAAAACCTGCTTTCATTTTTCTGTCTCTTGAGGCATCCATCACCTGTAACAGTCTAGAAGTGATATATATAAACCACCAAATATGATCTGAGATATAAATTAACAAGTACAAGGCCTCACATTACATGATGTGAAAAGGCTAAAAACAGCGATAGAAACTACATTCATAAAAGTGCATCGTCAACATACAACGAAGGCTTTGGCTTGTTCTGGTGCCCGCAGGGAAGTGGGCATGGCTGGCAATGAGCTGCCTGGCGCTAATCCTCAGCTCCCTGGAGACACCCATCCCTGGGCACTGGCTTTTTTTTTTTTTTTTTTCCTTTAATGACAACTCCCAAGGAAACTGGGTGTTGAGAGGGAGGAGCTCTAGCAATAGGCACATTTTGGAGGGGAGGGGCCGGAAGAAAGGACTAGCGCCCAGGCTGAGGTAAATAAGGCCAACTCTAAGCTGCTTGGAGATACTGGCTCCCAGACCCCTGATGCCATTCCTCCCCCAACGGAGGAGCAAGAAGGGAAAGAGGGTGAGACCTCAGGGGGATGGGAAGGCTGGCCAAGGAGGAACAGAGCTGGCGGTTTTAGACATGGTTGGTGGCATCACAGGGGCTCTCCCTTCTGGTAGAAGTTGGAGAGGGCTCTGGCCTAGCAGGATCATACTCACAGACAGCCTGATACAACCCCCCTGGCTAGCCTAAGTGGCCTGCTCAGGGCCGGGTGGTCAGCTGAATAAGAAGCTCTCAGTGTGCTGTCCATCTTCCTGTCCGCTGCAGTGGGAGAACAGATGCCAGGCGAGGAGCACAAAGGCCATTACCTTCAGCTCTTTCCAATCCAGCCCAAGGCCTGAGCCCACAGCAGGGGGACTCAGAACCCAGAGGGCACACAGTCTCCAGTTCAAAAACTGGGTACAGCATAAGAGTGACTCCAACTTGTAAAACAGACAATTGCATTGACAAAACTGCCCCTTAGTGGGGCAGTTCCACATCTCAGGCTCCTGCTTGGGAAGGCAGGGTCACAGGGCAGGTAGGACCGGTCCTCCTTCCCCGAGTAAGGCAGCATAACATTGCTTCATTCATCTTTGGTAAGGAAGGGACTGGCAAAGCTGACCTGGGGCTCCAGGGGGAGTGCAGCCCAGGCCTCTGCCTTCCACTGGCTGCAGGACGCTGGGCTTTACCTCAGGCTTGGGTGGGCTCAGCCAGCCCAGAGATGCCCTGGTGATCTCCAGACATGGGGAGGAGAAACAAAAATAACACTCTGAATGAAAGTAACACTATTCGGACCCCGTGTCCATCTTGTGCCCCAGACCTTCTGGGCTCTGGAGCTGATTGCAGTGTCAGGACACAGCCCCAAGGGTGGAGACCATGGCACCTTGCACACTGTTCCTAGCCCCTTACCCTCCATGCTGAGCTTACGAGGTTGGAACTCTCAGGTCTGGCAGGCTGGGGGCTTCCAGTCCTTGAGGCTGCAGCCACCCCACCCTGGCTCTGAGCCCCAGTGGCAGAAGGGGCACAGACAAATGCCAGCTGGACTGTAGTTCCATGGTTCACAGCCTTGCCTGGGAGAAGCAGCAACTTTGCTGAGTCCCATAGCAGCCCCTTGCCCTGTAGCAGGGGCAGCTGGCAGCAGCGTGGCCTTGAGAGCTCAGTACACAAGCTGTGCAAAGTGGTGTGTGAGCAGCTCCTCGGCCGAAGGTCTCTGTCGGGCCTCCACAAAAATGCGCCTCAGGAAGTCCCGACCGTGCTCAGAGATGTGGGAGGGCAGCTGAGGATTGGTGGGCTGCGTGGCAATCTTGAAAATGGCGGCCATGGCTTCATACTCTGCCCAAGGTGGTTTCTCTGTCAGCATTTCTACCACAGTGCAGCCCAGGCTCCTGAAGAGAGAGAACCCCATGTCACCTCTTGGCCATCCTAGGCACCCAGCTGCCCTGCCCACTGTTGTGAAAGGAGGTGGTTTTCTCAGAATACGCTGAGGCAGGATGGGCCAAGGTGAGGGTCAACACCCTATAGAGCAGCGGTCGCCAACTTTTCGGACCTCACGGACCACCAGTGGTCCACAGACCACCGGTTGGTGACCGCTGCCCCAAAGGTTTCCTTAAACCAGTGGTTGCCAACCTTTCAGACCTCACGGACCACCAGTGGTCTGCAGAACACCGGTTGGCGACCGCGCTAAAGAGGGTCCCCAAGGCTAGAAGAGGATTCAAAAAACTATCAGCCTTATCCACACAGCTTCATCAACCTATACCCACCTGGATACTTCTTGAGATTGGGGAAGAGAACCACTTAGTATGGACAGAAAGAGCTCCAAGATAACTATATTAGTTTCCTATTGCTGCTGTCACAAATGTGCCTGCTGTACAAATGAGCGTAATGGCATAAAAAACAATACAAACTTATTATAGTTCTGGAGGTCAGAAGTCTAAAATCAGTCTCATTGGGCTAAAGTCAAAGTCTCAGTGGCGATGGCTCCTTCTGGAAGCTCTGAGGGGAGAATTTCCTTGCTGCTTCCAGCTTCTAGAGGCTGCCTGCATTCCTTGGCTTGTGGCCCCTTTCTTGCACCACTTCAACCTCTTGCTTACACTGTCACACCTACTACCCACTCTGATCTCCTGCCTCCCTTTTATAAGGACCCTGTTGATTATGCTGGCCCACCTGGATAATCTGGGATGATCTCCCCATCTCAATATTCTTAAATTAATCACATCTGCAAAGGCCCCTCTGCCATATAAGGTAACATTAACAAGTCAAAGGAGTTAGTACGTGGACATCTTCAGGGGATCATCATTCAGCCCACCACAAAAATGTTCCAAGGGGAAGAGCCTTCTAGACCCTTTCAGAGGATGGACATGAAGTTAAGGGGAGAAAATGTAAGCTGTCTGAGTAGTAGGAAAGGGAGCAGAAGCCTGCTATTGTTTTGAGGCTGATCCAGGCCCTCAGAATGGATTCAACCTCTTTATTTTAGCAAATGTCAGAGATGTTTCCCACACCATAAGTTCCCAGCAATAACATTTGTTATTTGGAGTTAAAACATACTGCCACCTCTGTATCCTGATCTAGTTGGCAAGAGGCGGACACTCCTTCCCTCCCACCACACCAGAGCCCAAAGCTCATTTGTAAGTTGGGGCCACAAGAGCCCAGACAGGGAGATGGGGTCCCAGCATGTTCGTAGTACTCACCACACATCTGCTTTCCTTCCGTAGCCTTCGCCGCTGATCACCTCAGGGCTCATCCAGTAGGGTGTGCCGGTGACCGAGCGCATACCCGGGCCTGACATGCAGATGGTCTGCAGGCGCTTGCTGGCCCCAAAATCCCCCAGCTTCACATTCCCGGCAGAGTCTCGGAGGATGTTGGCTCCTAAGGCATGAAAGGGCAGAGCCTGCAACCCTGAACCCTCAGGCCTTTTTCCTCCCTCCCAGGTCACAGGGCTGCTGGGCAGGATGGGGCTACCATGAATTAGACGTGAACTGCACAGGGCAAACAAGCCTCAGCCCTACAGCACAAAATGATCACTGCCATGGCCAACATTGATGAGCACTTTATTCTGCAATATTTGTCCAAATTGCTCAACTGATCTTCACACCAATTCCCCAAGAAAGCAATTAGAGTCCTACTTTTCAGAAAGTTCAAAATGGTTAAGCGACCAGGTCTTGGGGACCCTACTCACCCTTGATGTCCCGGTGAACGATCATGTTGCTGTGCAGGTAAGACATGCCCTCCAGGATCTGCCGGGTGTATTTTCGGGTCACACTCTCTGTCAGGGCTCCATAGGCCTTCAACTGGTCTTTCACTGAGCCCTACAGCCACAGAAGTCAGAGGGAGTCACTGCAGGAAGGTGGCAGGAGGGGGGCAAGGCTATTTCTAGCCCCCAGCACTGCAGCCAAGAAGTGATTCATCCAATCCCCACTTGCAATGTACCAGACGCTTTGCTAGGGACTGCTGGGCAGCTTGGAGAAAAGTCTGAGACAGCCCTTCCCTCAAGCAATGTACGACTCAAATCCAGAAGGGGGATCCCACTGCTCCAGGTAAAGGTAGTACTTAGTGGACAGTGCAGCCATCCTGGAAGCCTCAGGTGAGGGTGGCCTGGGAGCATTTCTCACCCCCCACCATCACTGTGACTGACCACAGGCAGGCCCTTCTCGACTACACATCCTGCTGTCACCTCACCTTCTCCTATGAGCCTCTGGAGTTTCAGGGGATCAGACCCATGTCAAAGGGATCCTTTCTGCAGCCCCAAACCCCAGGTCAGGCCCTCTCTTGTGTGTGTCTTACACACATCAAGGGGCACATACCCCCGGCATATACTCCATGAAGATAGTCAGAGTCTTCTCAGCGCGGTCCCGCAGACAGCCATAGTACTGCACAATGCGCTCGTGCTGCAAGTTTTTCAGCAACTGGATCTCACACTCCAGAGCACTCACCTCCTAGGGGAGAGGCCAGTGTTCACCTCAGCTCTCAGGGCCCTGGTCTGCCTGCCTGGGATCAGCTCAGCTTGCCCTAGTCAGTGTCCTCAGAGGGGTCTATCTGCCTTGGGAACTTCAGCTGGAGAAACGGGGGACTCTCTCAACTGTCTGGCTGTTGGCCTCAATGCAGGGCAACCCTTTGAATGCTGCCACTCCAACACAGGCAATAGGAAAATAGTGGGAGAAGGAGTTGTGGGTGCTTGGTAACTGCTGTACTTCAGGTAACTGATGTATTTATCCACTCAGACTGGAGTGTAGGCCACACCCAAAGGTGAACTACAAAGACAGGCTCCTTCCTGGGCTGAAAGAGACATCGTGTGGTAAGGCATGTGCTACTCTTTGTGGCACTCTCATTTTGGGTTGCTTAGTACTTTGGCATCAACTCAGTTCCTCATATCGAATCCTTCCTTGGGGTGCTGGTACTTTGGACCACAGTCCCTTCACTCCATGGCCAGGACCACAGTGGACAGCAAGGGAACGTGGGAGGAAGAATAATGGGAAGAAACAACCTGTAGCTTTTAAGCAATTAGCCTATGCAACAAAGACAGGTATTTGGTTGAGGGGAAGACAGTACCTTGCTTGTCTCAGGACTGTCTGGATCAAACTGGACCTGCTTGGAAGCAAGTTCACGTCCTGTATCCACGTCATAACACAAATAGACCCTGCCGAAGGCACCCTGGCCCAGGAGCTTCCCCCGGCGCCAATTGATGGGGGCACTAGGAGCTATAGGAGAACAGAAGGAAAGAGCTTTAGTCTGTGCACATTATTTATTGATGTCCTCCCTGATTCCCCAGAAGCTCTATATGGGACCTTTGGCTGGAGCTCCCCCATCACCTGGCACTATTGCAACTGACTGCATCATCTCCACCCCGACCTGCAGCAGGCCCAGTGCCCTGGCCAATCAGACCTTCAGGCCTGAGTCCCAAGAAGCAGAGGACTGACTGAGTCATGGTTAAATGCTTTTCTGCATCGATCAAACATCCATATTTCCAAAGCCCCTAAATATCTTAATATGGCAGGGATTAAGGAGACTGCTTTTCAGTTTAAACATGGAAAAACTAAAGATCAACGAGGGGAAGTGGCCTGTCACACAAAGGTGGAGTAAGGACTAAGGTGAAGTGGGTCTGCTGTCCCCCTGCAGGCTCTTCCAGTTTGGAGAGGATGGGCCAAAGCAACCTACTGCTGAGCCAGACAACCCAGTAGACTCACTGGCTTCCCAACCTGCAGCTCATCTGAGCATCCCCTGGGCAATTTCCTTCTAGCCAGGGTCCACTCCTTACACTTGGTTGGCACATTCCTCTCCTGCACAGAGAGGGCATTCTCGCTGTCCGCACTCCGCAGGCGCCCACGGGGGTCCATATATTGCACTGCCAGACCCATGTTCTCGCCGTTTGTGCTCAGGGAACGGCTGGAGGGCACCAGGGTGAACAGGTTACCTTGATGACGTCGTATTCGGGGAAATGTTCTTCTGCCTGAAGAGGTGCAGGGGCCAGAGTAGAGTAAGTCAGACCTCTGGTCTTGAAGCTGAATGTGCAAACCAGGTCATAACACCAGCTCTGGTCCATCCTACCTGCCTTCCTGCCTAACTCATGCCAAAATGGCTTATGTCCCACACACCTTAAGAATGAGGACAAAAGCAGGAATTAGGAAGCAGCCAGAGATGGTTAAGGAAGCTCTGGCCAAAGGGAAGGCACAGGGCTGTTTCTTAGGCCCCACAGTACTCGCAGGCCAATCCATAGCTGAAGTCTATTTCCCTTGGCATCCTAATCCTAAATCTCAGCAGAAGCTTCATTCCGTTTGCTGCCAAAGGGCAGAAGAGGGCAGTGGAGAGCTGGTGACCTGGAGCAGGCTGCACACTCAAACAAAGAACAAAGTTCCCAGTGACAGTATCCTGAATCTACAAAAGCTGTCTCCCCCTTTTTTGTTTTTCCCTGTCTCTAAAGCCTCAAGTCTGGACACAGCTCCTCAGAAATCAAGGAAACATAGGATCTGGAGTGCCCTGACCCATCCCTTTGCAGTGGCTTTTCCCCGGCAGAGCTGTAACTATGTCCTTTTTGAGGCAGCCAGCAGGGTGGAAATGAACTCACCATCATTGTAGTCCTTGTGGTGCACAGAAACATGATAGCGCCGGGGGTAGGTTCCACCTTTGACCCCTTTGTCATAGAGCTGAGTTTCCCGATCTGAGTAAGATAGAGGAATCACTGGCTTCTGGGTAGAGAGTGGTGAGTGATCCATTTAAGCCCCTAGGTCACCTGAGACCTCAGATCAGTAGGCCCAAGGAAACTTAAAACACAGTTCTGGCTTCCCAACTCAGCTTTCCAAAGCAGAACGCAGGCAGCCGCACCCAGGCACCCTGCAGTGCTCACTGAGGCTCTGGGGAACTCACCCGAGAACTCCTGTCGGTTGTCTGGGAAGCTCTGGGCTCGGGACATTCGTGATTTCCGGAAGGATGGACTGGAAAAAAACAAAACAAAATCACGGAGTAGACTTTAGCATACTTCCAAAGCAGCTCACCAGGGCAAAAGGCAGGATATCCAGACTCCAGACGGACTCCCTTTTCTAACTTCCTCACACGTCATTGTATGGTAAGAAGCAGAGTACACGAAAAACAGACCTTTTCTGGGCTCAGTCTCCTACCTTCTCTTTACTAGTCTGAGACCCAAATCTGATAGAACCCTGAATGATGAGCCCCTCCAGTCTTACCGAACTCCACTCTGGCTGCACAGCACTTTCCCTTCTTACCCTTTCCTCCCTCCCACCTTAGTAACGGGAGGAGTTGAAAAAAAACAAACCCTTGCCTAGGGTAGTAATAAAAATAGCAACACCACCAAGCATCTTCCTTTCAGACTCAACACCACTATCCCATTTTGGAGTTGAGGAAACTGAGGAACAGAGAGGTTAAGGGACTTATTCAAAGCTACTTGACTAATATTTGGTGCAGCTGGGGTCCATCTGGCCCTAGATCCTATGAAGGGAAGATGGAAATCCTATGCTCAAGTTAGACCAGGCATCAAACAAAGAAGTCCAGGTCATTGGGTTTCACTCCCAAGGAGAAGAAAAAACAACAACAACAAGGGAGGGATGGAGGAAAAACCCAAGAATCAAGTGAGTAAATTTGGCTGTCTTTCCCAGAATCCATCTGAATCGTCCTTTCCCTTACAACGACTAGACTCAGACCTTCTTTAGTCCTGTCCTGCTGCCCCATCCCTACATCCCAGTTTGGCCACAAAGCTTAGGAGATAGTCCAAAGCCAGAGCTGGTCCCTATCCTGGCAGAGCCCTCAGTTTGTAGTAGCAAGCCTCAAACAAAGCTATAAATCAGATATCAATAACTATAACTGTATGTATTCTATATCTAGAGGGAAGACAGTGCTCACCAGTGCTCAGATCTGTTAAGAAAGACATAGTACCAATTTGGCCATGGTCACAAGGTCAGTACCCACAGGAACAATTTAATCAGTGACACAAAGAAAAAAAAATTTACAAACCTGCCCCATAGCCTCTGACCACAGCTCTGAGCCCAGTCAGATGTGATCAAACGTTCTCTTGGTCATAACAAAGTCAAGGTGAGAGACTGGCTGGATCAGTGCCAAAGCCAACTCCAAACAAACCCCTGCTGATGGGCAAACCAGCTCCACAGAACCATTTGGCATGTAAAGGACAGCACTTGTCCCCTCCCAAAGTGCAAGAACAAGATTACACACCAACTAGGCAGTTATGTAAGCTAGGCAGTCTAGATATTTTATTTTTTATATCCTAGTTTATTATTTCACCAGAAACATTTAAAAAAAAAAAAAAGAACCCATAGATGATAATTCAATTTTGTCCCCAAAACATTGAAGGTCCACTGCTTCTCAGTCCAGATCACAAACGAGGCCAAGAGTACTAGAGCAGCATGTATTATGTAGAGACAATAAAGCAAGCATTTAATACAGGTGAGCTGCTATTCTCAGCTATTATATTCATCTAATTATATAAACATAACATTCTCATGGTGTTTGGAAAATTAAGGAGGTTCTTTCCCAGAAGCACATTTTTACCATGGGCATGTAAGACCAGTGTCTAGATTGGAGACACACATACTAGCTACCTCTATTTCCTCAGCCCATCAGTTCCAAAATGCCTAGGTACTAACCCCACAACCCATACCTGTCTGCTGACCTGTCCAAGGATTGGCAGCTTCCCGACAAGGAATTTTCAGCACTGTCCAGGGGATCCAGCATCTGCAAGGCAAGTCATACAATAAAACCCCAGCCCTAGCTCAAATCCCTGAATCCAGGTGAGTGAGGGCTTTAAGGCCTAGCCAGGGCCAGCAAATGATCCTTGTTGTCAAAATATGAAAGTAACCTTTCTCTGCCTGTGCAGTGAGAAGAATGATTAGGAAGGTATCATTCTCCCCCAAAGTTCGAACGGCAAGTTCCAGGAGGGAGAAAAATGCCTGGCTGGCATCCCAAGGAGTTCTGCAAGGAAAGCAAAGCTGATGTTGCTTCTCTTGTTGGCATTTTCTTGGCTCATGACTGCTAGAGCCTGGCGCGGGAGATGGTACTACCCTGCAAAAGCTTCCAGTGCATTTGGGTGGGACCATAATCCTTCTGTTTACACTTCATAATCTATAATTTACAAAGACAAGTATTGCTCTCACTTCACAAATGAGCCACTGCAGGTCTAGAAAGTTGAGGAGAATGGTCTAAAGTTATGAAACCAGTTAAAAGGCAGCTAACACAGATAAAAAATTTCCCAGTTTCTGGTTCTCGTTTAGGAACAATAGGTAGCTATATAAGTTAAAATGTTTCTCTGGTCCTTAGTCAAATGCAGTAACAAAAAGCCTTTAGATTAGCTTTGTCTCCAACTAATCTTCCCTTCATTTTGTCCATGGGGGAAGTGGTTATCTACTAGCAAGAGTATTTAAACATGACATAGGAAAGCAGAACACTGGAATTATGAAAATTCACTAATAACTTTCATAAAATTAGTTTCCAACTCAAATGATCTCTTTCCATTTAATACTATGGTCCATCTCACTCATAATTTCAAACACATTAGGTCATATTGTCATATATGACATATTTTTAAAAACTACCAATCAAAACAAATTAATGGCAAAGTAAAACTGCAAATCTTGCTAAGAATGTAGGATTTTTCCAAAGTGGATAAAACCAATATGGAAAGAACTGCTTGTAATTCATCAAATGCATATTTGGCACAGTAGAAGCAGTTAATAGAAGAAGAGAGAATGGGCAAGTATTACAACATGACAAATTATCAAGAAGGAGCAGGAATACCAAAGGTTCAAGAGAGGCCTTTGGAAAACCCACTGAATCCTGTGAAGGTGTCTGTAAAAAAGGACCCTCTTTATGACAGTGCTGCAGAAATCAAAGGGGAAGTGAGGAAAATTACGTTGCACTAGCAAAATTTTTGTTACAAAAATTAAGCCCCCCCCCCCAAAAAAATCAACACGAATCATGCTTCTTAGAATTTCATTGTAAAAATTAGCAAATAGATGCAACTATTACCTAAATCTGATTAAATCAAAAACAAAATAAACTTAACTTAGTTTCACTTTTTAAGAAAGTCTCAATTGAATATTCTTTCACTATACACTATGCTGTTTTGGTCTCTAAGTTCATTTATCTTGAATAGCTCCATTACCAGCAGCAATTCTCTTTAGCTAAAGAGGCGGGGCACTGGAGAATGACCTAGGCATTCCCTAGCCACCACCTCCCTTGGCCTCTTTCCAGAAGTCCTCACTGGGAGTCTAATACTCCTATGCCTTGGAGGACCAGCCAGGTAAAAGAAAGCAGTAAAAGGATGAGGGTACAGGACCATGAGGAGGGATATAGAACAAAAGCAACCAAACCTATTTGCAATCTCAAAGATTTTACACCTAAGTCACCCCTAGAGCGGCTGATGTTCAGATGTGCTCTGGTTAGAGAAAACAGGAAGGATGGTCAGTAAAATACCCAAGAAGGGAATATGCAGCTAAAAGCACTCCAGGTCACTGTTCTAAACATAAATTTATCTGAACACAGAAATATAGAAGAGAAAAGAAGCAGTGTAAAGAGCCTCTCATAGCTTACATAGTCCAAATAATGTTGTACAGAGATTGGCTATTAAAGGGAAAAGAAACGTTATAAGAATCAGTTTTAGAAGAAAGAAAAGTTACAAGAAGCAGTTTTTGTAAAATCCCCCATGTGATGTTGCTGGCCCTTTTGTTGGATGGTTTACCCTTAAGAAATTTCCCCTTCCCAGACCAAAACCCCAAAATTTATAAGAGTGGATCTTTTTGCAATCAAAGCAAGGTCACTGAAGACTTCAGAATGAGGCCTAGCTGATGTGGTTCAGTGGTTGAGTGCTGAACTATGAACCAAGAGGTCACCAGTTCGATTCCTGGTCAGGGCACATGCCCAGGCTACGACTCGATCCCCAGTATGTTTCTCTCTCATCGATGTTTCTATCTCTCTCTCTCTCCCTTCCTCTCTCTCAAAAAAATCAATAAAAACATAAAAAAAAAAATACTTCAAAATGAGGCCAGAATTCTCACTCTTGCTGAGTTCACTAAACCAAAATGCCATTTTCATCAAGTGAGCCACTAGTTAAAACACTAGCCATTTTTTTTAAATCAACATGCTGTAAGATTCATTCAAATTGTTGCATATATCAGTGTTCCTTTTTAAAAACCCCTGTCTAGCCCTAGCCGGTTTGGCTCAGTGGATAGAGCCTTGGCCTGTGGACCAAAGGGTCCCGGGTTCGATCCCGGTCAAGGGCACATACCTTGGTTGCAGGCTCCTCAGGCCCTGGCCCTGGTCGGAGGCAACCAATCGATGTGTTTCTCTCACATCGATATTTCTGTCTTTCCCTCTCTTCCACTCTCTCTAAAAATAATCAATGGAAAAATATCCTCGGGTGAGGATTAACAAAAATAAAATAAAATAAAATTTGAGAATCAGAAACATTCTCATTAAAAATAAATAAATAAATAAAATAAAAACCCCTGTCTAATATTCTGTTGAATGACTATAATACAATTTGTTTATCCATTCTCTCTTTGATGAACATTTAGGTTGTTTCAAGTTTTTGACACTTAATGAATAAAGCTCTTATACTAGTAAATATTCATGTAGAAGTCTTAGAGAGAAAAAAAGCTAGCCATTAAAATGGATTATCCCTTATGGTGGACCCACCATAAAGTGGTCCTTCTTCCATGAATCACAGCCTTGTATAATCCCATCTCCCTGAGTCTGGTAGAACTTAGAACTTGCTTCTAGTCAATAGACTACAGCAAAGAGAATGGGATATTGGGATATTCATTTCTATGATTATGTTACATTTTGTAAGACTCCATCTTTGCAGACTGGAGCAAGAGATTCTTTCACTGGCCTTGAAGAAGCTGCCATATTGTGAGAGGGCCACATGGCAAGGAACTGTAGGTGGCTTCTAGAAGCTTAGAGTGGCCACTGGCCAAAAGCCAGTAAGAACTATGATCAGAAGGAACTGAATTCTGCCAACTATGTGAGCTTGGGAACCCCAAGCTCCAGAAAGAAATGTAGCCTGGCAAACACTTGATTGCAGCCTTGTGTGAGCCTGAGTGTAGGACCCAGCTAAGTCATAACTAGATTCTTAACCCAAGGAAACTATAAAATACTAGAGGCCCGGTGCACAAAATTTGTGCACCCCAGGGGGTGGGTCCCTCATCCCAGCCTGCGCCCTCTCACAGTCTAGGAGCCCTTGGGGGATGTCCGACTGATGGCTTAGTTCCTGCTCCCTGTGGGGAGTGGGCCTAAGCCATCAGTCAGACATCCTTAGTGCTGCCGTGGAGGTGGGAGAGGATCCCGCCACCACCACTGTGCTCGCCCACCGTGAGCTCGGCTTCTGGGAGCACACTGACTACCAGGAGGCAGCTCCTGTGTTGAGCGTCTACCCCCTGATGGTCAGTGCACATCAAAGCGACCAGTCATTCTGCCATTCGGTCGATTTGCATATTAGCCTTTTATTATATAGGATAGCTATGTGCTGTTATAATCCGCTAAGTTTGTAGCAATTTGTTATGTAATAATAGAAAATGAATATAGCTGCTTACCATCATAAAAGTTCAATTAACTAATCCTGCAGTGTAATCTGGATATGGCATTACTTCCTACCTTTGAAAAAAAATTTTGTTGTTGTTGTTAATCTTCATCTAAGGATATTTTTTGAGAGTGGAAGAAAGAGAGAGAGAGAGAGAGAGAGAGAGAGAGAGAGAGAGAGATCCCCCGGAATCAAACCCATGATCTTTCCCGTGAGCAGGCTTAGGCTCTAACCAAATAGCAACACTGGCCAGGGCTATAACCTACCTTTTATCAAAAAACAGCAAAACTAAAATACAGCTGATGAAAAAAAAAAATCTGTGTCTTAGATTTGGTCATATGTTAAACTGTGGAAATGACAGGTAGTTATAAGGAATATACAAATAGCAAGAGTGTTATTTTGCAAGGACATCAGTGAGAGAACTATAGAAGAGAAGAACTTTATCAAATGCATATTCAGCACCCAAGAAGGCTAGGTAGTTTAGGTCCCATTTTTGGCACAAATTGATATTTTGCCCCTAGAAAGGCATAATCCACATTTGGGCAGGACTGGTTTATAGAAGAGCTATTGGATGGGGCTCGAGTCCCTTAGTTCTGCACCATGCCCACTGAGAATGCCCCAATTTAACCTTGGTCTGACACACTCAAAGGCGCACCCCAGCCTGTACTCACACATTGCTCGTTGGTCTCTGGAATGAACTCCCCCTCACTGTTGATGCTGGTGTAGGACCCCTGCCGGGCAATGCGCTGCTGCCTTTCAGGCACATAGCCAGGGGGAGGTGAGCTTCGTCCAGGGTTCTGGGAGCCTAGATCACAGAAACAAGACCTTTGAGTACAGCCCGGGATGTACAGCCTGAGAGGAGCAGACATCCAGCTAGCTCAGACCAAGTCTCTTACAGAGGCTGGTGGAGGGCTCGTCACGGCTCTTTGAACATCCTAGAAGAGAGTGCTAAAGCTCAAATAAACTTCTTGAGCCAGATGGCTCCTCCCCCTAATCCAAAAACCCCAAAAAAGGAGGGAAAATACTTACAGAAAAGTCAAAGAGTGGTGGGGAGGGTTGCTTTTTGAAAGACAGTCTCTAAGGAGTTTAAACTATTATTTTCAATGTCCTTCAAGAAACACTCCTTCGTTCTTCCACATGAAACCAGTCATTAAGAATATATGGCTGATCCAGGTGTAGAGAAGATAATTTAATGAATTGGCCATCTAGAACACTTCCAATTTCTTGTTGGGGGCATCAACCCAGCCTCTTTAAGAACCATGACAATTAGGTTTCTCAGGTGGGAAGGCTAACCTGGGGCTCTCAGTAACCTAGCTTTCTCACCTGTCTCCACAGCACAGACCAGACACAAAACTGCTCTGAAAACAGACAAAGATATTTGCTGGATTTCCAGTCTCAACAGCTCACTCATGGTAAGAGGCTACCAATTCTGAGGTACCTGAGCCATGCCTTCCAAATGATCTCAAATAACTCATGGAGGAAAGAGTCTGTTCAAATTTTCCAAGCCCTGACACCCTGAGCCTCTAAGCAAATACTGACACTACTCTGAGTATAAACTCATGGATATTGTACCATGAACTAACAGAGCAATGAAATTAGCCAAGACATTTTTTCTTTTCTTTTTTTACACTGTTACCTCTTGTTTAACCCCCACAATACCCCTGCAGTGGAAGTGCATTATCATCCACACTCAACAGAAGGGGAAGCCCCAGCCCAGTCACAGAGTGATTTAATGGTGGGGCTGCAGCTAGAAGATAGACTTTGTGACTTCTAGTACAGATCGACCAAGGCAATTCTGAGAACGTAATTTATTTCCAAAAGGTAGGCATGCTGCTCAATACAGTGGCCAAAGGCAACACTTCTCCCATGGGGACAATAAGCTCCCCAGGAACAATCCAAACAGAGGACAAGGATCTGCACCCATGGGGAAATGTGACAGCCTTTCTGTCAGGAGCTAATGTGGGGAAACAGTGCCGTGTTTCATGCAGCTCAAATTCAGAGCTGTTCTGTCCATGGTCACTTGTAAGTCAAAGGCCAGGGATGCAAGATGCCATTTGGCCATCTTAAAGATGGAGGTAAGGGAAATCTGGACCAAAAATAAGAAATCTACTCCACTTTTCAGAAGCCCAAATGTCAAAGACCTACATAGCTGGCCCTTTCCCTTGGCACCATAGCACAGAATTCTAGTGCAACCATGAAAAAAAGATGGTTTGTTTTTTTCATACCCCCAAACATGGAGCACTGTTTAATACTTGGCTTACAAACATTAGCCTAGTGCCCACTTCACACTTGTGGCTTTGGATAACATTTTAGTAGCCCATTCTATGGACAGTCAACCCATATGTTGGCAACATTTGTCAGCAGCAGAAGCAACCCAGAGCAAGGTATAGTGAGAAAAGCCTAAACTTGGGAATTAGATGAACAGGGGTTCAAATCAGGCTTTGCCACTTAGCTAAATAATTTAAACTCTTAACAAAAGTTCCTCACTTGAAAAACTATCTACCTCATAAACTTTTTTTTCGAAGTTATAAATGTGGTGGACACAGGTAAATTGATATGGTAGGAACCCAGTAGAATTCCATTCGTTTCCTTCACACTCTGTGGCAGATATAATGTACTAGACCAGTGGTCGGCAAACTCATTAGTCAACAGAGCCAAATATCAACAGTACAACGATTGAAATTTCTTTTGAGAGCCAAATTTTTTAAACTTAAACTATATAGGTAGGTACATTGTTATTAACTTAATTAGGGTACTCCTAAGCTGGCCTTTGCTAAAAACGTCCTCAATCTGATTGAGGTACATTCTTTGAGGTCGACCCCTTCCAACTCTACTATCCACACTCATCTTGTATACTTGTTTCGTCTATCTCCTTTCCGAAAACCGACTTCTGCGCGTGGGCCACGAAGTTTCAATCGCACGGCGCACGTGGTATTTTGTGGAAGAGCCACACTCAAGGGACCAAAGAGCCACATGTGGCTCGCGAGCCGCGGTTGCCGACCACTGTACTAGAGGCCCGGTGCACAAAATTTGTGCAGTGTGTGTGTGTGTGTGTGTGTGTGTGTGTGTCCCTCAGCTTGGCCTGCGCCCTCTCGCAACCCAGAAGCCCTTAGGGGATGTCCGACTGACGGCTTAGTCAGGAACGGGCCTAAGCCATCAGTCAGACATCCTTAGTGCTGCTGCAGAGGCGAGGGAGAGGCTCCTGCCACCGCTGCTGTGCTCGCAAGCTGTGAGCCTTGCTCAGGCTTCTGGCTGAGTGGCACTCCCCCTGTGGGAGCTCACTGACCACCAGGGGGAAGCTCCTGCGTTGAGCATCTGCCCCCTGGTGGTCAGTGCACGTCATAGCGACTGGTTGTTTGCTGTTCAGTCAATTTGCATATTAGCCTTTTATTATATAGGATATTATATAGGATTAGGCTCAGGATCCACTCCACCCTTCTAGCAGGCCTTCCTGTGCTTCAAAAGTTAATCACCTAAAAGCTTTTATTTCTAAGACCCCCTGTAGGTTCAGCCACTCAGATGTACTTGTGTGAGATTTAGATGGCTTCCTGCTGTTCTTGCTATTTCTGGGTACCATACACGGAAGCCTTGGTTTTCCTGCTGCAGCATTAGAAGAGGCCACACACTTGGTCTCCAGTTGTACAGGTGCAGGCATCCCCATGTAATTGGTGTGGACCAGAGAAGAGATGCACTGCACTTCTGGATCTGGTGGCTTCCTGATTATAGAAGAGGGAGGAGCTCTGTGGTTTGTCTGTTTCTCACTCTCCCAATGCTCTGATAAGCCAGAAGTGCACTAAATCTCTTCTTGCTGAAACTAGTTAGATTTCTGTTCTGTGCAACTGAATTCTAGCCAATAAAATCTGAAGTGTCCTAGAACAAAATGTCTATTGTAAGCGACTGATTAGAGAGAAAGAAAAACTCTTACTTACTGAGGAGAGCGCAGACATTGGTTCAAACTATCCCAGACAAGATGAACTGCCTTCAATCTATGACCTAGAGTGTATAGGGTGAGACCTCCCTGGGATAAAATACCCATGGCCCCTGACACCCATTCTCTCCATCAGCTGCTAGTAAACTCTTTCCTGGTTTTACAGGTGGGATGGGACTAGCTTACCTGAAGCCAGCACTACAGACCCAGGAGGGGTTGGGGGAAAATAGCAAAGGTTTTCTGAGCTTTTATTTCCAGCCAGAGACTTTCACTTTTTCCAATACACATTGCTGCCTGCAGAGAGCCAGCCTTGTTATCTGATGGGCAATGGGCCAGAGGCTATTGTGTACAGGCCACAGCTTGTGGCAGGAAAGGGAAGTCTCCCCAAACCAATGGCTATCAGAGGAAACCAATGGAAAAACCAGGAGTTGGCAGAACTGCTCTAGAGCATTTTCAGTTTTGTTTTTATCTTCCATTTCAGAAACTGGGGGCCAATGAGATGCACAACAGGACTCAAGAACAAATGAGACAGGGACTTGAACAGGACAGGATCCTGAACTAAGAGAACTCTAAGACTCATCGATGCTCACACATTTACCAGCAGGGACAGCAGTGAGCCAAACAGTACAAATCATAGTGTTATGTGAGACACAGGTCATTCTAGGTCTCAGAAGGCAAGCACAGCAGGAATGGCAGGTTCTCTGGGACACCCTTCTCTGGCTCTAGTCTCATCAGGCCATTTGTACCAAGTGGCCCCATTCTAATACCAGCTTAAGCAAAAGATCAGAGTAGTAGTCCTGTGTTCAGAGTACCCCACCATTTCCCATGAAGGAGGAAGCCAGGGGGTTAAGCTGCCAGCAGTCCGAATTCCTCCGAGGGCATACTAGCTCTCTGCTAGACTCCTTAACCCAGAACAGCAGAGTTGAAACAAAACTCTCATGGTAGAATATGCTGATTCTTTTGCTCTGTACTCTGACTCAAAGCTGAAAGACGGGCTCTCAGATTCTAGCCCTTCTCACAGGAGCCTCCTGGCAGGAAGCTGATGCAGTCAGGAAGTTGCCTCCGGCGGGAGTACTAGGGCTTTGGGTCTGTTAATGTGCAGGTCATTGCAAGTACAAAGAGACAGCTTGTTTTGGACATCAACTATTTTCTCTCAACCCTATTTTCTGTTGGGGGGCTGATGAGATGGGGGAGGAATCAAATCATTTTTTTCTTCCTCAATGGAAAATCTTAACCAGTATTTTCCAATATCCTTATAATGGACCAGGCCATCTTCATTCCAGAAGACCACGAGAAGAGCCTATGTGTGTCAACTTTCAAAATTGGCGTTTTATTTTGAAGTTGCTACCACCATTAAACAGTTTTTGGTCTCATCTAGTATCACAGAAGAATTTATAATGAGGAGAAAAACCTATAGAAGTGAAAGAAGCTGACAATTTTGTTCCCCTGTGTATGGTCACTACCTCTGCAGTTGGGGTTTCCATTCTTCCAAATCTGTACTAGGATCGGAGGTTTGCACTGTGTGCAGCTCTCTAACTAATTATTGTCTGGGTGTCAATACAAGTCACCCTATTCTTTCAACTCTCCTCTGCCTGAATTTTTTCTCCTCTCCTCACACAGGAAGAGGGCTCCCCTCTTCCTTGCCAAGGCATTATAAGCCCTCTACCTAGATTCCCAATTCCTCCCTAGCAGGAGTCAGCTCTTCCACGGTCCCCTCTCACCACCTTCAATCTTCTTTTCAGCTGTCTTTGTGCCTCCCTTCATAAACCTGCTCAAATCTCTAGCCTAAAAATATCCTGAGCTTATTTCTCCCACTCTCTTAAGCCACTACCCTAACTTTTTAAAAAAATATATGTTTATTGATTTCAGAGAGGGAG